ATCCAACTCTTGTGTCCACTCGCTGCCATTCATCTGACTCTCCTATCAGCAGAAGTGGATGCCATTGCTGTGTACTGCTGTTATCTCATACTTATCTGATGCTTGTCATAGTGACTTTTTCACTTCTGCAATGTGAAATCCAACCCACCCTTTGCGTACCAGTTTTGTGGCTTTTACCTCCTCTGTTTGCAATTTTAATTCAGTTCTGTTATTAATCAAAAATGGTCACTTCACCAGATACGGAGCAGCGCTCTGTTTGTAAAGTTTGGGTTGAACTTCTCTTCCCTGACCATTACTGAGTGTCTTTCACCACTGCTTATTTTTTTAATATAAATCCATATTTTTTTACAAATTCCCGGAGGTATTGTAGTATAGGTCCATCAACGCTGTGGCTTCCTATTACTTTTACCATGACCAAAAAAAAACCCGACCAAAACCAACCAACCAAACAAAAAAACTTGGCTGGAATTTTTATTTCTAGCTTCATTACATGAAACAAATACTGTCAGGCTATAAAACTATTCTAGCTACTCCTACATGCCTAACATGGAGGAAGGGAGAAGGATGCTAAGAGATACTAAGTTAATTTTAGATGGTAATATTCTATCATTAGCTCTTACGTACAGTTTAGATTTAGTCATTAGGTGTAATTCCTGCAAAAGCACAAGTACTGGAATCCCCTGTTAAAATCTTACTACTTGATTTACTCAGGAACTTAGGGCACATCTCTAGCTTTAAATATATCCCTTATTCAAATATAGGTGCTTATCCCCTGTGGAAATAAAGTGGAAATTCAAGACTTGTCTAAACTTGTAAATTTAATTTAGCAAGGTGATTCCAAGAGATTATAGATAATTTCAGAGTTAAAAATCTTTGATACATCTGATAGTTTAGAAATTTACTATGCTAGAAAGACAGAGCTGTAGAAAGTGGACAGTATTCTTTATTTCAACCCTGGAAAAAAATTAGAGCTCATCTATTTAATTTTCCTCAGTCAGAAGAAATAGAAATTTTTAATTTTAAATAGGCTTACTTTAAAGCCATGTAGTTTTAGGGAGAAGTTCTTTAGTTATTTGTGAAATACGTAATAGTAAATTAAAGCACTTTTTCATAACTTAAATAAAAATTTGTAAGAAACAGTAGTTTTGTAGAAAATCAAGCCTCCTGTTTTGACGTATGGAATTGAGGATGTGATGCTTCTTTGCTATTCAAACTGAAAACCCCATATACACAAGGCAAAATAACCATGGTGATGTATTAAGCAATAAATGAGAAAGAATAGTACTTTTTTTAACCTTTCAGCCTTTCTAATTTGTCATATGGAAAAGTAGCTATGAGTAAAGTAAAAGTTTGACTATATTAAGCTGTTTAGTCATTGTGTATTCTACAGTTTAGCAAGAGATTACAAATTTAGTGTAAAATCTGTGCCTGTATGCTTCACCCCTCCCCTCCCGATAAGTCATATTAAGTTGATTCTCACTGGGTGCTGTAAATTTCTTTCGAAAAATAAATTCATGAGCACCAATGAGAAATGTACATTAAATTGATTTAACTAGAGGTTTTCTGCTTGCTAATTTGAACTTGATTAAAATCAATCAACCCTATTACATTTATTGCATAAAGTTAAGCAACTCGTACAAGTGTCAGGAGGATGGGGACCTTCACATGTCATCTCTGTGTTGCCTGATTTGCTCAACCAAAGCTCAGCCAGCTATTGTAGATTCTCATCTTGTGGTATGAGAGTTCTTAAGGTCTGTGGGTATGGTTATGGAGATGTAACACCACTACAGTTGTTAACCAGATGGTCTTTATTAACTTCCAGGGATTAAAGTAAAGGGATTAATTTTGCAATTCTTCAAGTGCAGAAGGGACCAAATTTTGTGGAGTATAAAGGAGGCAGAAATAAAGAATGTAGCGGTTGAATGTCCTGTAGTGTGTTCCAAATTCTTATATGAACCCTGTAGGTGAAAACCATATGTGTGGTACACTGTATAAATAAAAATATCACTGAATAAAATATATGATGTAACTCAAGTAATTTGCAGAGAGTCTACACTTTTAATTATTTGGTGAACACAACAACATTAACCTTTTTTCTGAGACAGAAGTTGCTCACTTGCTTGTTCTTTATTCTGTAGTAGGTATCAAAGGCAATATATTAGCATAATGAAATACAATTAATTTACCTAAACTAAGATGTTCCATGAAAAAATTCTAAATTTTTGGATACTTTTATAACTATGAACTGAACCTGTATCTGTGTTTGAGAGTATGTTTGCCAGGTGATATGCTGTTCCCCTCTGTACCCAAACTGCTGAAAATACAGTCAGATGTGTGTTAAAAATAAGACAGTTGAATACAGTTGTTTGAGAGAGGTATAATAATGATACTGTAACTGAAAAGGGCATGAGGACTTTCAAATCTCCAACAGATCATGCTTAAAGTGTGTTTTTCATTTGAGCTTTGGACTTCAAGGTTCATGCTTTTTCATTTTTTTTCTTAGTGACAGTAAAAACTAAAACAAATCAAATACCTGTCCCAAAAAAATTTAAAATTAACCTTTACACCAAGAGCCAGAGTCTTCAAGAAATACTATGACAGTGTGATGTTTAAGATAAACATTAGGGGAGCGAGCAGTATCATGTGTATCTGTAAGGTATTCTTCATAGTTAATGATGAATTAACCTATCTCCATTATCAATCAGTTTATTTTTTAACATTCACACTAACTACAAAGCATCATATGCTGTAGTGTGATACAAATTCCAGACAGTCTTCAGTAATGGAAAGAAGTTAGCAAATTACTGCTAGTAGAGGTATAAAAAAGGAAAACTAGATTGGGCATACATCTCTAACCTTCTGTTTCCCTTCCCTCTGTCAGACTGGGGAAAATATCCTTTATTGTTTCTAAGTCCTATTAAGTAGTAACATGTTAGTAAAAATTATTACTGTGTTCAAAAATTCTGATGAGTGCTCAACTAAAAGCAATTTTTATGGACATTTTGCTTCTCAAAAACATTGCAGAGATGCAGCCAGAAAGATTTAAATATATCCTAAGTGCAGTAATACAGCTGAAAACAGTGCTGAGGTGGCAGGTATGAATGACACAAAGATAATTTGCACAGATTTTGAGACGTGATATTGCAGGAGACATTGGGCTCTAACATTTTGAGTCAGAACTTACAGCTGGATGCATAGAGGGAGAGATAAACAATAGTTCAGTTTGAGTAGAAGGAGATAGGTTGAGTGGAAAACAAGCTTGTCTGCTTTCATTACAGAGCTTGGACACAGTTGCAGCTGAGATTAACCCAGAAATAAGGCTCAATGGGCAAGAGGAGGAGATCAGAAACATACATCGCATTTCACCTCCCTCTAAGCCAAACCAAACCCCTGGCTCTGTTGAGGCAGCTCCTCTAAAGGGTGTGCTGGAGAGGGAGGAGAATCAGAAGCAGGAATATGGTAACCAGTAATGAGGGAAGATACCAAAAAAGAGTATGGTTGATGGAGGACATTAGAGTACTCTCTCTAAACTTCAGCTATGAGAAGGTTGGTTGAAACTTTGGTAAGGTGTCCTCTGTGGTTGGTGTCTGTGCTGGCTGAACAGGGTCTAAACAGCTGGAGAGAGAACACGTTGTTTGCTGTCTCAGAGATGAAAGAGAAGGGTATAAGGACTTGAGTCAAGAGTGGATTTTTGCTACAGAAAAGCATTCTTGGATTTTGATCAGCAAGCTGGAAAGTAGGAAAAGGGAATGAATGAGAACAGGTACATAATGAATTTGGATGAAACAAAAAAAAAAAGAGGAATAGAGTAAAGAATTGGTCCTTTTAAATTTGGGGTTTTTTTAGAGCACACAATATTAGTATCCTTTTCGTTCTTTTCCAAAATTAAATATAAACTAACACAAAGGGATTCAGTTAATCAGAAATCTGCTCAAACACTTGTAGACCAGGTGTTCTAAGCCTTAAAATCTTCTGTACGTTTCAGTGCCCCAGCTGATGTTAGTATATAAGGGCAGAAGTGAAAGCTCCAGAATAAGAGATATCTTGATTTATAACACAGTTAACAGCTGATAAGTCTGATTATTTTGCAACTTTTTCATCTTAAATGCTGTTTCCTGTTGGTCCCTCACTTACACTGAGCAACTTAAAATATCAAAAAAAGATATTATTGGAGATTAATTAAAGCTACAGGAAGATGGAGCTTTGAGGGTTCCTTTTCAGCAGACATTTGAACCAAGAAGTCAGAATGCTCCGTTCAGAAGCTGTAGTACAAATGGTAAAGAAAACCTGTTACTATTTTAATTATTATTGCCTATTTAAGGTGGGATTTCTTGCAGCCATGTCCTTGAATAACCATTTCTTAACTAAAAGGACACAATTTTGTAGCCAGTGATCCATGACTTTAAATATTTGGAAGGGCTATTGATTCACTGAACTGGAAATTAAAGATGTTGAGGCATATTTTCAAAAGTAGAATTACATGTATTAGAAATTATATTTGATCATGTATATTCTATTTACCACTTAAATAACAATAAAAAAGCTAGGTACATGTAATACAGTATTCAATTTATCTGTAACAGTGTTAACTAAACATTGGTGGTATTGTTTAAATCGGAGAGCTGCTAGCACCTCCAGCACCTCCTCTTGTTCCCGTGTCGTGGTCCTCTGCATGTACCTATTTCTGTTTGTGGTAGTCATTCTCTCTAGGTAAATTGTCCAGAAGACCAATGATTCCATCAGCAAATTATCCAGAAAATGCCGTCAGTGCGCACGGTGACATTTGTGCCACTGGTGGTTTTGTTGCCATTTCAGTGGTCTAATTAAATTGGCAGTTTTCTCTCGTGCCCAGCATCGTTGTCTCCCTTCCTTTGGCACCTTAGCTCAGACCTTCTCCTTTTCTCTGTCCTTTTAACTGAATATCAAATGCATTATTGATTGTTTCTCTTCCACCCTCCTCACTTCCACTCCCCTCAACTTTTTTTTTTTTTGATTGGCAGTATCATCCAGACAAACAGAAGGCAGATGTGCCAGCAGGAGAAGTGGAGGAGCGCGTGCAGAGGTTCATCGAAATTGATCAAGCGTGGAAAATTCTAGGGAATGAAGAGACAAAAAAAGAGTATGACCTGCAGCAGCGTGGTAGGTTCCTGCCAAGGAGTGCTGTAGTGGCAGCAGCTCTTTAAATAAGCAGGGGCTGGGAGTGGTAGTTAGATGGTATTTTAAAATGCTGGTTATTGCTGAACCAAATGTTTCTTTCACTCTTGTCCTACTTTCAAACATGGATCCATTATTTATAGCTTTTACTACACGTACATTAGCTAGTGAAAACACTGAGTTACTTCCAATAAAACATTAGGCAGTGTTATTCCTAATAATTTGAATGAATTGGAAGTTACACTGATCGCAGAACTTAGCCCTTTTTATTTTATTAACGCAGCTTCATTAAGTGTTCTTAATTTTGAGTCTTATACTATATTTTGTTGCAGTATCTTGGATACAGGTATTAATCCGTGTATACCTAGTGTTCAATGTGTATGGCTTTATAAGCACTTCAGAATCATTAAGACGAATTCTAATTGGGTGTGTGTGTGTTATGGTAGCTTTTGTAATTCATCTGTAGCCTAAATTAGTCTTTTTAAAGCAGGTTTATAAATAATATTCCACCATAACACATTAACTAGGCAGCTCTAGCATGCCTTTCTTTTTATACCTCTCAGAAAATAGCTTCTTAAAACAGTGACAGGCTGTTGTGAGAAAGAAAGGGGGGAAATGTAGGTCAGGTCTGTCACACATGGGCTACCATTACATGAAGTGATAGGCTGTCTTTCTGCTCTGGCCTCAGGATAGGAGTCCCTCAGCCTTCCATTAGAACCTTCAATAAATGTATATCCACCCTACATGTTAATGGGGGGAGTCAATAATAGTGGATTGCCTGTGGGGAAAACACTCAGTCGCACTCTGCAGTAACACACTCTGGTCCAGCATTGACGTGTAGCCACCACCACTTTTGAATGTGTCTGATAAAAGCCCACTGTCTCTGCAGCTTGTTATTGAATTCTCTGCCATTGTACACTGGCACACCATCAGACCTTGCTCTCTTGTGCTGATTTTTAACTCCCCTGCCGCTGCGGATACCAGAACTTTGAGAGACAAAGGCTTAGTCATTCTGGCAGATATGCATCACTGCAGGATAAAAAGAGTGATATCTAATTGTATATACCCAGTATGAATTCTCTAGTTAAATAATCTTGTATTTCAGACTTTGTGTGGGTTTTGGAAAAGAGGGTGGAGAGGTGAAAACAGAACTGCTGAATAAATATTTTTAAAGAATGAAAAAAAAAATTGATCTTGTGCTAATTTGTTATGTAAACAGTATTAAGATTAAAGTTAAACAATTTTTTTTTCATCTCAAACTTATTTTTTAAATGCCTGAATGTGATGCCAGACAGGAATTTCTGCTACCCAGTCCTCTCATCCTATGGTACTCTTAGCATTGTAGTATCAGATGTGTCTTCCATTTTCACAAATTGTACATGCATAGGAAAAAAGAAATATTAGGGATTATGTTAGAAGCCTTCTGTATATTTACTGAGTTTTTACCTAAAGCTTAAATACGAACTATGCAGTTCCATTTTGCTTGGGTCAGGTTAATCCACTGAAGTCACGAACTACATCAAGATTAATAAGTTAGTTTGTTTTCCCAAGGGATTTAAGGACATTGCGATAAATTAATTTTGACAAAACTTATTCTACAGTATTTTAAAGTTTATCTCTATTTCCTGAGATTCTTCTGCATCCAGATGAGTTCTTGGAAAAGCCATCTCAAGATTCTGTAAAAAACTTTGTAAATAAAGAAAACAAGTTGTCCATTTATTTCCACAGGTATTTGGGAATGGGAAAGATTTAATATAGAGGGTGCCATTCATAGGGGACCCAGGGTTGGAAACTAAGCCACATGTAACATACATGTGCAGTGTGGCTGCATTCTTTGCAGCATGTTCCCTGGCAGCAAAATGATGCTGAAATAAATTCTAGTTCTTTGAATGCCTGTCAAGCTGCTTCTGAAGTCATGATTCTAGACAAATTCATAGACCCTGCTGTAAAAGCTCACAGAAACAAAGGAACTGAGACAGCAGCTCAGGGGAACAGTGATGAGAGAGATAATAGAGCAGGTTAGTAAGGCTGCGAAGCCTAGGAAGCAGAATCTGAAGGATGGCAGCGTGCGTGTGTGTGTGGCTGCCTTTAAGCCCTCTGCACTGTAGTCTCTTTCCCATTCCACAGACTGTTTATTTGTGTGTCCCTTCTTGTGTTATACTAACTAAATCTTAATTACTTGGCTTAGAAATTCAGTGGCCAGGGAAGTTCTAAGAAGCTGAAATTCTGTGGGGCTCTATGGTTTTCTTTTTGAGTCATTGAGAATAGCAAGTGAATGTGCTTTCATGTCTTAATGCTGCTTTTCTCTGAAGGTATCACAGGGATCTACTAATTTTTCATGCCTTCAGGCCATAAGTATTACAGAGGAAAGGACAAACCTCAAATCATTTAGAGGTTTGGCTCAAATACTTCTCCAAGCCTCTCTGGTCTGGAAATCTTACTGCCTCTTTGTATTTTTTGTGAAAATTTTTCCAGTTCATTGTTTTGTCATATCTTTAATGCCATATAAGAATACCTTTTTATAATGGTGAATCTTTTGCTTCCGATCCCTGTGAAAAAAAAAAAGGGCAATGGTAAAAAAGCTGCATAACAATTCACCTATTAAGAATGGACTTTTTTTTCCTCAACAGATTTTCTTCTTAAGAGATTTTTCCATTCTGTTTTTGGTATCCAGTTTAGAAAAGATGAATATGCAGTTAAAAGCAAGTCTGATAGTAATAATTACCAAAAGTTTTTCAGTGAGTTTAGCTTGGGAAAAACCCCTCTCTTATAGTTTTCATATTAGTAGTCATCTGAACCCTGAAAGTTCATGTTTTTGTGTCACAGTTTGAAAGAATAAAAAACTTTTCACAGAATCGGAGAATCACATAGATCAGGAGGGACCTTCACAGGTCATCTACATCAGTCTTCTACTCAAAGCAAGTCCTGTAGGTCAGTTGCTCAGACCTTCTCCAGCCCAGTTTTTAATATCTCCAAGGATGGAGATTCCAGAGCTGCTCTGGACAGCCTGTTCCAGTGTTTGAACACCCTCATAGTAGAAAAACCAAACCAAACAAACAAAAAACCCAAACAAACAAACAAAAAAAACCAATCCCCAAACCAACCAAAACATGTTTTCCTTCTATCAAGCTGGATATAAAGACTCTTTTGGCAACTTTTGCCTTTACTTCTGGTCCTTCCACTGTGCACCTCTGCAAAGTCTTCTCTACACCCTCCTATTAGGTAGCTGCAGGCAATGAGATGCCTTTGAATAGCAGCCCCGCAACTGTTGTGGATTTTTGTTGACTTAAATGCAAAGGAACTGTGTATCTAAACAATCCCAAAATTAAGATAATTAATTTTACTAGTTCATTTTACATTTTAAGTATTAATTTCTGAATGATTAACAGATAGGTCAAAATTAAAATTAAATCAATAAACTGGTGACTTGATCAATTTCTGACACTAAATTTAGCAAGTAATTCAAAGCCAGTAATGGGATTGACACTAAAATCTGTTGCTTTGTATATGTTTTTGGGGCAGAGGGTGGAGAAGTTTAAGAATCTAGGGTTGTTTTCTTATCCAGGATAAGAAGTTTTTACAGGTGTCCATAAAGCCCAAGTGTTTAGAGAGTGGGGGATGTAATCACCAGCAGGAGTTTCCACATCTCAGCACGTTACTCCTTTTGATTTTCAATTTTTAAATTATATTTTTAGAACAATATTGGGGATACTGTTTTCATACATAAATAAATATTTCAGCATCATTTTCCTTTTGTTCTTGTTTAATTTCTTAGACATAAAGAATTACAGGTCCTAACTGGAATTGCCAGTGTTCCAGCTTGTGCCATTTGTCTCTGAGAACAAGTCTCGTTCCATCTTCTCTGTACCTTCCCTTTAGGCAGTAAGGCACAACAAAAATCTTTAGTTAGCCTAAAATAGCTCATTTTGAAATATCTGGTTGCTAGTTCAGCTTTCACTGACAATACCAATCTCTTTTAAACCTGAAAAATCTTTGAGGATGTGTCCTCACTCTCAGTTAAGTTTCTACTGCAGGATTAGAAAGGGAGTCTTGTACAGGTGTGGTCAGAGGAGGAAAATGACAAACCAAGCTGAACAGAAGGCAGCTCCTTCTCCCCCTGCTCCTTCCCCATTCCTCTCCCAGTACAGTAAACTGGAAAGACTCTTTCCGAGATAGTCACATTCTCATTTATCCAGCATTCCCTCCTGCTCCAGCAATAAAGTGATGATCCTGTGTTAGACATCAACCTTCCACTATGAGAATAAGCAGGAGAAGCAAGACAAAAGCCTACAAAAATGCTTTTAATAGCGAGCAGAAATGGCACATGAAGACCTTGACTACCTTGGTGTAAGAAAGAAAAAAGATGAATGCAGGATATTGCAGTTGTTCTTTGTTAAGAAAATTCCTTCTTAAAAAAAAAAAACAAAAAAAAAACAAAAAAAAACAACTTTTAGACCAAAATAAAGCTTTTAACATGGCTTTTCCTGGAGGCTTTTCAGTGTGCCAGGTGATACTCTTTGACAGAAGTGTATATTCCTTCTCCAGCCATGGATTTTACTGCTGTAGACCCTCAGCTAGTGCTGGAACACAAACCTTTTATGGTACCTCTCTGGAGTTAATTCTCAACTGCATTTGGCTACAAGTGAAGCAGTATTTTGGGTTTGGTTTTTTTTTTTAAGAAACGTAACTTTTTGTTATAAAAATTCTCAATGCATGACTTCTTTATAATTTCAAATTAACGTAAGCATGGTTATTTTAAATTAATGCAAGAGACTCAAACTTAAGTATTTGTTTAAAAACTAAACATCCTATTAGAAAAAGTTAACTTGTGAAAACATCCAGGTTTTGAGTACTGTGATGATTCTGACACTGAGTAGATGCTATGAATGGTATTTGATGGACAATATGTATCTTGAACTTTTTAAATTATGTGTTTGGTTTAAAAAAAAAATCAATCCTAAGAATATCTGACTGATAAAGAGCTAGAAAAATGTTTTAGGTATTATGACTATTTTTATTATTACCATAAACTGTTAAAAGGGTTAAATTTCCATTTACTGCTTGCAACCCTTTCTCTAAAACTCAGCCTTAAATAGCCCAAGAAATATTTATTGTATCCTCAAGTGAAACTTAAATACCTTTCCTCTTTTACAATTTCTGAATGACCCAGCAAGGGCTCTAGTAAAGCTTTACTGAACCAAGCTGCTAATAGTTATTTAATGTTGTTCTGTAGCCTGAAAGAATCTCAGTAGATTTTTTCCTTTTAATCTCTTTGAATTGCAGGCTCATAAACCTCTCTGATGAGCCTGCCAGTGTTTTCTTAGATCCTGCAGTTGAGACAATGGAGCTGCAGAATCCTTTCACCTCTTGTTGTCCGACAAATCCAAGAGATGGCAAAGACAGGCAGGCTGTACTTCTTGTGAATTAAAATTTCTTTATCAAGTTACAGTAGATGATCAGGTCTTCACAAATTTCCCTGTATGTTCAGAAACGTGTTTCAGAAAGTACAACTCTGTACACAGAGTTCTACAGCCTGAGCAGACATCACACGGAAATAAGCCTACCACATAACCCAGTACTGGTAACAATACCAGTCTGAATTCTCCTCCAGCAAGTGAATGAAAATCAGACACCAGTTTACTTCAAAGAACCACTAACAAGGGAGTCACGGTTCTAATAATAATGATGTAGATGAAATAAGGAAGAGCACAAGAAATATTAGTCACTAACAGTCTGTGAAAACCGTCAGGTTTGCAGTTCTGCTTGTGAGCTCCCCAAACTCCTGCTGGGCTGTGCCTGTTTTTAAATAAGTGGCTACATCTGCTTCTGCTGCCTTAAGACACATCAGATTGGGGAGTGTATATAGTAGGAGAACTGGAAAATAAAAAAGCTTGTTCAACTCTGGAAAATAAGTTTCTCCTTCTTGAACCAGATAAACAAACAAGTGCAGCATACGAGTGGTTATAGGATTATATACCCTGTTTGGAGACTTACTCAAGTCAAGAGGACTAATTGAAAATTGACATCGTTTGATAACCAGTAAGACTCTTTCAGACTTGAGCTTTGGACTATGAATAATGATCTCAGTTCAGGCTGGGAATTGTATGAGTGATTCATTTTGCCTGTTGGTTGTTTGGGTTTTGTTGGGTTTTTTTTAATTTCAAAATTACAGTTGCATTAATTAATTAGAAAAGCGTGGTTGAGATTCTGTTTCCTGGGCTTCAGACTGTACTATGTTTGGAATAGAAGAGAGAGAGTGGACTTTTCCTCAGCCTTCCTCTTCATTCTTTCCTCCTCATTACTTTAACAGCTGGACTTGTTCTTAGAGGTCTTTTCCAGCCTAAATGATTCTGTGATCCATGAGTAACTTCACTTCAGGAAGTATGTGAATTTGGATCTCACCAGTTCTCTTCATGGTGGCATATGGTCCATCTGCCCTTGTTGTATTCTCTGCCATGAGAGACATGACCCACATCTCCACCTCCAATCCTAAAAAACTTGTTCTGACTGAAATCCTGCTTCATTAATTCCAAATGGAAAAGCCTGGTTTCTTTTTAACTCAATTTTTTGCTACCTGTAAATTAAGCTTAGGAAAATGTGTTCTTCCTACAACAACCCTAAGAGACCATTTTCCTTTGTGAATTTTTCTTCCTAGTATTAAAAAAAAAAAAAAAAACAACCCAGGTGAAATAGGAAGTGCTTCATAGTTATGGTGTCTTCTTTTACCACAGTAGAGAGATGAACCTGAAGGTAAGTAGGTAGACAGACTTCATTTTGATCTGGTTTTGGGTTGGGTTTTTTTTTTTTTTAATTTCCTTAAAAAAGAGGAGGAGGAATCTTCACACAAGGCCTGCTGGAGGAAAGGCCTCTGATGGGGTTCGGGAGTGATTTCAGGACATTCACCAGTCCTGCTCTCATGTTTTGTAGCTAAAAGGCCGTACCAGACTAACTCCAAGTAACATTAGAGTTATTTGTGATTTAAGACCATCTGACCTTTTATTTTATTTTTGACATTTCATGCAGTTAACTAATCTTCTGATCAGGTGTTAAGAAAAATATTGTTACTTTGTATAACTAAAACATTGCCCATAGTTCCTGTTGATGTACTGAAGCATGCACAACAATGAGGATGACTGGTAAGTGTATCTTCCAGTTTCTTTCATCATTACACTCCTGCTGATTTTTTCTCCCTTTCTTTTGACAGCAGTAAAGTATAAGGTGTGAGTGGGTTAATTTTCTTTTCATTACAGAATAGGTGTTCAGCAAAGGTAATGTCAAAGAGGCTGTATTGATTCTCTCATTATTTCCAGTGTGGCTGATTTGTTTTTATCTCCTTCATTAAAACTAATTTAGATGAGGCTCATTGTCAAAGATATACAATGTACATTTCAGTTAAAATTAGAACAGTCATTTAGTTGCAAAATAAAGACTAGGACTCATAGTTGGTGGTTGTTTTGGTTTGTTGTTTTTTTTTTAAACTGGCCTTAAATTTCCTGTTTAAAAACCCCAAATGTAAGTATCTTGATGAATGATTTATCTTTTTGCAGGAATCTTGGTGGTATTCTCACACACAACCCTGACATTTACGTGGTGCTTATGGGGGGGGGGTTTATTTGGTCTCTCCTTTCTAATGAGAGGGACTGTGGAGATATTTAAGATCTGACCTGCTCTAGCTGTGACCCTGCCTTGTGCAGGAGAGTTTGATAAGGTGAACTTGAGAGGTCCCTTCTGACCTCAACCATTCTGTGATTTTGTGAGAAGTACAGGTTAAGCAGACGTTCACAAATTCAGCTTGTGGAACTGGAGTTACAGCCAGGCTTTTAAAAGGTATTTCTATCAAAACAAAAGTTTGCCCCTAATTTTACATAATTGTTTGAGATGTGCAAAAGTACTGGTTTCAGTAGTGTCTTAATTTCAGTAATACATCTTCACCATTTACTTCTCCTGGCAGTACAGGAGGACATTTTCCAGCTTATGGAGAGATCTGGAAACTAAAATTTTAGAGAACTGCTTTTTTAACTGATAATGTGGTCGAGGTATGACTCTAATAGAGACCAGACTGACTGCTAGATACATAAAACTATTAATTTATCAGGAAGAAATAAGGACTTGTATGTTACCAGGGTTGAACATCTGTCATGTTTTCTTTGTAGAAGATAATCTGACAAAGGAGTGGCCACTACATGCACAAATATGTCTTGAGGATATGTCCTGGAACGAAGGTATGAGTGCCTCACTACTTGTTGCCAGTGCCTTTCATTGTCACTGCAACTGTTTTCTGTTTTTTCTGCATCTGATACCATTATGTTGTCTTATTCTAAGTTCTGCCTTTTTTTATATTTTGCTCAGATTTAGTTATTCTGTTCTGTTCTCACTCTCTTCTTGGAGTAAAACCGAAAAAATTCTTCTCAAATCTCTCATGCATCTTCTTGCCCTTCCTGTGATAGGAGAATGCCAGAGTCTTCATACAGATTTTTCTTTGAGTGTATTACTTCCCTCCTTTATATTGCTTTAGCTTTTATAATTTACTTGCTTTTTGAATAAGCAGCTGATTTTTTTTCCCATTTTTTAAGCTGTGAGGGGAAAAGCCTGTCTGCTTTCCTTTCTTCTGTTTTATTGTTGTTTCCTGGGTTAGCAGTCTGTTTTGGAACCATCCTTGATCTTTCATATATATGACAAATACCTCCTAATTTTTCCTGTAAATATCTGTTTCACTGATGTGCATCTTTTTATTAATTGTTTTTTTAAAGAGACTACCCTGGCTGTTTGGTGTGAAAACGCCTCACAGTCACTGAAACATTTTAATAATATAGTTATTTTTTGAGCAACAAATGGTAGCACAGGTACTGATGATATTTGCAGTCCAGCAGTGGGAGGTCATTTGTTATTAAGAGCACCTTTATGAAGAAAATCCAAAATAAATTTGTGATTCTTCTCAAGCACTAAAGGCTTTTTTGTTTTCTTCTTTGGCAGATGAACAATGTTATACTCTCTCATGTCGATGTGGTGGGAATTACACTGTCTTCAAGAGTGAAACCAAAGACGTATCTTTGGTTTGTTGTGACACATGTTCACTTGTTATTGAGATCCTTCAATGATTATTTCAATCAAGCACATTAAGTGTTACAAATAAAAAAGACTGGACAGAGTGGACAGCACCTGCTAAAGAAATATGTGTTGAAGAAAAGGGCACTAGAAGAGCAAGTTCACGAGAGGAAATGTGCCCATTTGCTAACATAGCTCTGCACCCATGAGGCTTGTTTTTTTTCCTTCCACAGCTAAAGAGCTAGTTATTAAAAACCTCCAGAACAGAACACTAAGTTCTGTACAACCAGAATATATCTTGTGATCTAAATGACATTTCTTTCCCAGCAAACAACCAAGTAGCTTCTTTCAATCTCAGTCTACATCAGCTATACCTTAGGTTAAATCCTTTTAGCAGCTCAGATGACAAAATTTAATCAGGAGGCATACATGTGAGAATGCTTTGAAGATAATGAAGAGTAAGGGGCATTAATGGGAAACAGGAACATTTTCTATTTCTATGCTAAATATTGAACTTCATTAAATCCTCACAAGGACCTGAGCCCTGGAAAAAGGTGGCCAAGACTCTCAGGTCCAACTGGCTGGTTGTCTCAGTACAAAGCAGCAGGTCCAGGCACCGAACTGTAACACTGCATCTGCATTAACTTTTCAGCTTGGAGCAGGAGCATATTTTGAATTGACTCTCTCCATCATCTGAATAAATGCAGTCTTCATTCCTTAGATGAAAACTAACTAGGAAGCTGTGCTGGGCATACAGTCCACTGGGCCAAACTAGAGCCAGTTCAAGGGGAACCCTACAAAACACAGATATCCAAGTGACTAGCAACTCCAGAAGCCCACTGTTAGTTTTCAGTTCCGATCCCAGCGTGCCACACCACTTGCTCACGTCAGCACAGCCTATGTGTGGCTCTGGCTGTGTGACAATAGTGCATTGTTCCTTTTTCATCCCTTGTTAGCAGTCAATGCTCACCTTGGCTTGTAGTAAAAGCCAAAACTTTCTAATAAATCCAAGCACTTACTGTGAATAGCCAGAGGAAACAGAATAAGAGGCATATCATTTTTGTTGATGACTGCAGTATATCAATCCCACTTTCAAGTTAGATGTAATCTCAGAGAGAGACATCTTTGTCAAGTAATACTTGTATTTATTCTAAACAAAAATAGTTCCATTGATTTTAGTAGAAAATACTATGAAAGCTGGCAAGAGTCACTTAAATCTTTTAATCATCAAGAAATCTATTGCCGTTGGGGCTTGCACGTAGAAATCCAAAGTCAGTCAGAGGCCATATCTGTAAAATAAAATACAGTTACAACAGATTTTTATTACAACTCAAACTACAGTTCAGCACTTTCATTTGTTATTTTGTAATTGTTTAATAAACTGCATAATTTTTTAGCTCTTTGGTTGAGAGGGTATATGAACTTTTCTCACTTGTGTGTTTCTTTTACTAAAAGTAATAAATCCTATATATCAGGAGGAATCATTCTATAGTGACTGGAGACAACGCTAATTTATACACAACATGCTTTGCTATGGAGAGCCTCACCAATTAATTTTTTCTTCAGCCTTAGAAATACATTCCTAGAAAACATCTTTTAAATTCAGAGTTTTCTAGCTTGTAAACCTCTTATCTTAAAAGACAAAGTATATATTTTGATGCATCTAGGAAAAGAAAGAACAGCACAAACAGTAACTGTCAGTGAAAGTAGTTGTGTGAGGTGTACATTTGTATTTTCAAGACAGGCATTTGAACTGCAAACACCAAACCTTAGGAGAAAGGTCTAAGCTCATACCATGCAAACAGGTATGAAGGGATGGAGTTCCTGCCACCATCAAGGGCTCTCAACCAGGGGGCTCCTCTGAGAAGGGAACTAGTCTCAGAAAAGGAAGGAACACGAATCATGATGACCAAGTACAAGCACAAGTGCCAAAGAATGATGCTCACCAGTAAGAAAAAACTCTCTCCAGAAATTAACTCTGTAGCTGTTCATACTCTGAACACTCCCAGGAGTACTTTCCTCTGAACATTCACTAATTACATGTAGGCTGCTCTTAGGTGGAAAAAAAAAAAAAAAAGTAACAGGCAATCAAGGACATTCTTCTACACTTTGTCCTTTGTCTCCTTTAACTGCCTCTGTCTCTTTGCTA